GGGATGGGTTAGCCTGGTGATGGGTATTAAAGAGGGCACATTCTGCGTGGAGCACTGGGTGTTATGCACAAACAATGAATCATGGAACACTGCATTAAAAACTAATGATGTAATGTATGGTGGTTAACATAACAATAAAAAAATTATTAAAAAAAAAAAATTCTGTTCCTTGCTTGTACTAGCCACATTTCAAGTGCTTATGGGCCACATGTGGCTCATGGCTCTAGTACTGGCCTGTGCTGCTCACTCCTTTCAAGGAGACCATCCTGCCCCAGCCACTAAATATCTCTTGCCTGGGTGGCTACAATAGCCTTGGGGCTGATCTGGCTCCTTCAGTCTTTTACAACATGGGAGCCAGAGAGATCCTTTGGGAACATCTTAGGTTATGCCTCTTCTCTGCTCAAAGTCATCCTAAGGCCCCCATGCCTGTGTAGCAAAGTCCTCGGAATGGCGAGCGAGCCCTTATGAGCTGCGGCTCCTTCGACCTGTCCAACCTCATCTGCCCTCCCCCTTCCAAACTTCTCTGGCCACAGCCACACTGGCGTCCTGCTGCTCCTGCCTCCAGGCTTCTGCTCTGGTTGTTCCCTCCCCCCATGCTCTTCCCCCAGATATCCTCCCGGGTCACTCCCTCTCCTCCTTCTGATCTCAAACACCGCCTTCTCAGTGAGACTTGGTAAGACCACCTTTTTAAATGTTAACCCCGCCCCCCCCACCAGCAGTCCTGCCCTCCCATACCCTACCCTGCTTCCCCTTGTCTTTTCCACAGCACTCGTCTCTTTTCAACAAATGATAGACATTTACTAGTTAATCATATCTGTTGTTTACTCTCCAGCAGGGAATTTTGTCTAGTTACTCACCGCTGGGAAAGCTGGCCCAGAGGAGGCTTGCCAAAAATATTTGTTCAAGAAATAAATGGAGTTTTAGAGCTGGAAGGCACCCTGGAAATCGCTCTTGGATGGAGCAGCTGAAGGTCAATGAGGTGAAATTAGCCACTGTGGACCCACAATAAGTTCAAGGGAAGAACTGGACCAACAACTGGCCTGGCCCTAGGTGTCTTCACTGGGCGGTCCTGTGACGATGACCTCCCCTCCCCCTTTCTTTGCCACAACCAAAGGGGCACCGACAAACCACAGAGAGCCAATGGGGACACCAACCTAACTACAATGCCAAGGGTATTTATCACTTTCTTCTTGGTAAGCCTTTGTATGGTTTCACCATTGGTCCTGCTTCTCTGATAACTTGTAGGAAGCAAGGAACAAAGTGGAGGCTCTGGCTAATGGCTCTTCTTACCCCCATATGTCCCAATGCCAGGACTCTTGGAAAACTGTAAATACACATGGTTGCTACGTTTTCCCTAAAGCAATTTATCAGTCTTGTTTAAAAAAAAAAAACAGTCATATTTTCATCATATAAGTGCTAAATTAGTATTTGAAAAAAAGTCGATTAGCATGAACAAAATGATTCTCCATTGCATCACTGAAATATTTCTGACAATCCAGAGTAGATTAGAAGGAAAGTAGACCCCAGATTCCATTTTGTATCAGGGGTTCATCTGTCCTCCTGTAGCTGTAAAGAAAAGCCGTCTGAAAATACACATTTTTAAATGCCTCGGGATGATGGTTCTTCTGCTGCCAATTCTGATTCAAAAAGAAAATACAGTGAGCGAGTTTGAACTTCATAAACAGACCTGTTCATAATGGCATGGCTCACAGGTGCAGAGCTACACAGCACAATATTAGCAAAAAGCCTGGAAGACTCCATCCATGGCTCAATGGACGATTTAACTTGCCAGAGGATGTAATTAAAAACAAAGTTATCTTTCTAATCATTCCTTCATTACTGAAATAACTCAATTGGAGACTTTTTGGGAGATGCCAGATTAGGAAATAAAATCCTTACAGACTGCACTGAAATGTCATGAAGAGTATACCAGGAAACAAACTGATGCGCATAGACAATCTTCTGTACACACCAGAAAATTAGATCTCAGGAGAGATGTGGGGCTAAGATGTAAAGTCAAGGGTGGGGGTGGAGGCAGAGTACAGTGAAAGGCAAAATCAGTGGCTTCCGGGAGAGAGAGGAGCCCCGGATGTCCAGGTGTCCCGTTAAGTTACCTTGGGTGGCGTTCTTCCTTGCTTTCACTAACTTGCCCCTTCCAGCTCCAAAACCATTATTTCCATAGTCCAGGTCACTGTCACTATCACTGCCACCACCAGCAGAGTACGCACACATTCTGGGTACCTTGTCCTAAATAAGTAATACGAAACCATTAAGATTATTCACGCAAGTCGAAATGGGGCAGAACATCCTAAGAGGATGGGACACGGTTCATCGCGGGCTATTACTGGGCACGCCGAATTCCATTCCACTGCGCCACCCCCAAGAACAACTCTGCTTTTCCTGTCTGCCTCTCACGGAGCTGGCCCAGTCCACTCAATTACCGGAGCTGTAGAAGCAGGGCTGCGCTAATGAAGCCATTGACCACTCTGCCATTGTCCCAGGTACAGGAAAGTCCTCACAGCTAACCTGCTCTGCATTTTGTACACTTCTTTATGGGGTCTTATTTTTCTCAAGTGCCTATTATGAGCTGCTGTTCCAAGCCTAATGGCTTATTTGTTCAACTGATCTCATCACTGGCTTTCAAGTATCAGAGAGTATGGAAAGAATCAACCTTAAGGACAAAAGAAGAAATGCTTGCCTAATTTACGATTTCCTTCTATCCCTTGAAAGGACAGGAGCCTTTAGGAAAGTATGCAATTGCTAACCCAATATACTCCTCGAATCAACTGAAAGTTCATGGGTTGAGGGATTCCGTCTCCCCTCTTGCTCACAGGTACATACAGCCTGACCCTCAAGTCATCACTGGTGTGGCAATAATGCCCTGTCAGGAATTGCTGAGGTGGTTGATGCTGTCTAAACAGTCCCCACCCCCCACTCTGTGCACAGAATCAGAATACTAGAACTAAGATTGCAATTCTGTGTATAAAATTATAAAAGAACGTCTTTTAGGTTTGTAGGCTACCCTGTTAGAGCTTATTATTCCCCACCCATCCCAGACAGTTCAGGTACAGATGTATAGGGGATGGGCCTCTAAAGTCTGTTTGGGAGGGTGTCATTCGGTTGGAAATTATAAAAACACATTTTAGGATGTAAACCCCCTCATCTGGAGTTATACGTTCAAGCAGCTATGCAGTTCTTTATTCCTTTATTCGTTGACTCATCCATTCACCCATTCAACAAATGCTTATCGAGTGCCTATTCTCTGCTAAGAGGAGTGCTAGGCTCTGGGGGTACCGAGTTCAATACACGGGATACTGGTAGTCCAGCAAGGATGATGTCCATGAAGGATGACGAGTCTCCAGGCTGGGGTGCTTGGGGAGCCCCACGTCTAGAGTTCCAGTACGGCCCCAGTGACATTTTCTGCAGTAGGAGATGAATTTTTTCACCCCTCCATTCAACAAACATTAATGGAACCAGGCACTGTGCTGGGTGCTAGAAATGTAAGCTAACTTTTGCTTCCAACTTTCTCCCCCTGGCCGTCAGCAAAGCAGGCTTCTAAGTTCCAAGCCACAGCGGTGACACTCTCAAATCAGAGTGAGCTTTCCAGTGGGCAGAGCTGGGGCAGGATGATGAGGGAGAGAACCCCAGGGAGGGGTCTTTGCTGCTGGGCGTGTATGTTGGGTGAGGAGTGTCTTGCCATTACATGTAGTGGAACAGCTCTCACCTGGCCAGCATTCAGCTGTTGTTGTTGTTATTATTATTATTTTTACTTTCTTGGATTTGCCTGACCCCCTTTGCCATGGTCATGACCTGTTGTTTTTGAACGATTTCCCCTCTGACTCTGGGTGTCTTTAGGGTTTTCTCAACTCTCCAGTTCCTAAAGCAAGCATACAGTCCTTGGAACAGTGCTTCTCAAAGTATTTTCCATGGCTCAGCAGCACTGGCATCACCTGGGAATTTGTTAGAAATGTTTGGACGTCAACTCATCAGTACAAAATCGGACATGGCATGCATGGATGTGTAGCCCTCTGGGTGGTTCTGATGTCCACTCATGTTTGGGAACCACTGCTTTGGAGGAGTCTTAACATTTTTATGCCTAAATTAAGGCTTGATAAGACTATACTGGTTTGCTCTTTTGCCTCTTAGGCTCCTGTTTATAGAGGCTGCCATTCTGAGTGTCAGACATGGAATTCAGAGGGCTGAGTTCTAGTCCCGACTCCTGAGTAAGGACCCTGAATACGGTCCAGCATCTCTCTGGAGTTGTGTTGTCTACTGTAAATTGAGGCTGTGGGCCTCGAGAATTTCTTTCCCTACTTGTCTATGGCTCCATACTGAGATGCTAAAGGCTGAAAGAAGGTTCGGCCCCACTGGTTGTGGGTGACCCCGGATGTGGGCTAATCTGGGTATTTTCTCATCATAGTTGGTACAAACTCTAGTAGAAATAGCAATGGGGGCTTCTAAGGCCAAGATTGGAAGAGACAAAGGCAGCAGGAGTGAGAAGAGTTAAGGAAGGGTGGGGAAGCTCTGGTAATTGATCCATATGTTCTTCTTCCCACCCTTCTCACTGCCAGGTGCCAAGAAAGAGCCTGAAGGGACAAGTTGGGAAATAGTGAACAGGCTGAATATGGCCCTAGGTAACTAGCTGGGAGGGGTAAATAGGAGGAAACTCAGGAGGGAATACCAAGTAACCCCGAGGGATGACAGAAATGTCCCTGAGCCATGAACAACTTCCTAGGTCCAATCACATGTCAGGAAGCCTATGTCTGCCATCTCAGGGTGCATGAAGATCTCACAGCAAAAACGGTAGAGGCTGAAGAGATGCAGGTCTCATTGACACTGGGAAGTCATGCGACCACTCCGGGGTATAATTATACCTCCTTTACCTGTCTTATAGGAACGAGGTATAAAGGTTAAAGTAAGAATAAGATAATGAAGAAGTATCATTAAATCATTCTCAATCATGCTCTTATGGCTTGGGAAAGTGAGTGCCCATTCTGTAACGTCTAATCTGGGCAGAGCATCCATGCCTCAAGAATCTAGGGACAGATTTGTGGAAGCATTTCAATTCCTCCCAGCGACCCATGGTGTTCCTTAACAATGCAGGGAAGAAGGTGAGCCTTGGGCTTTTGTTTTTATTCACTGAGCAAATGACAAATTTGCTTCAAAAACTGAGTATTTCGTGAAAAGGTTTAAGGAGGTCATTTTTCACCATCAGGAGCAACAGGTGGAGGGTACCCTCCTGTCAGCCACCCCCCTTACCTGGGTCTCAGCCGTGGGGTCTTCGACCCCCCAGTCTGGAAGCTGCTCGCTTGCGATTGTGTTTTCGGCATATTCAAATGACGAGCAGGTCTGGGGCCTTGGCTCTGCTTCATTCTGCTTTTGGGAATTGATTTTTCCTAAATGAGGAAATGTACATGAAGTCACAATCTGCTTCCTTTCACTCTTTACAAGTTTAGGGACGGGAGTGAGGGAGACATTAAAAAATAATAAAAAAAAGTCCAAATACAGTCAAAGCTGGGTATCCCACTGAAGGCAAACTTTTCCACAAAATGTTGATAGACTTTTCATGTTAGGAAGGGGTCAGTGAGCAAACCCTTTGGGAAACACCGATTACTCCTCAAATAGTGTTAAGCATCAAATAATAAACAGGTTTCCTTTTGGGAGCACTTCTCAGAGCCTCCATTGTGCTATTGAAAATTGTCATAATGTCCAAAGAAAGGATTAGAACTGGAAGCCCTAAATAATATGCCCTATTCTGAAGACAATACTATAAATTTAGAGAGAAAAGTCTTTTCCAGATCTTGAGGATTCATATTTAGAGTATAAGTATATTCTGAGAATGTTAGCTTGCCTGATTTCAAAAGCAGATCTTTCCCCCATGCTTCTTTTGAGCTTAACTTGTGATAATAAAGTGAAAAATTAAAAAAAAAAAAAGAAGAAGAAGAAGAAGAAGAAGAAGTCCTTCCCAAACATACTTGGACAGGGAACCCTTATTTTCCTAGAATACCCATTATGGTCATTTCCAATGCACTCGGAATGTGCCCTGGGCAACTGTGCTCTTAAAGATCTTTCGGGGTAGTACTCTCAAGCTTTTATGTGCCTACGCAGCAGCTGAGCTTTTGTTAAATTGCAGCGTCTGAATCAGAAGGTCTAGAGTGCAGGTCTGAGATTTTGCATTTTCGAAAAGCTCCCGGGCCATCCTGATGATGCTAGCCTACGGATCACACCCTGAGTAGCAAGGGTGTAATTAGCAGGGAATGATTAAAGAAAGTTCCCCCCTTACCCTTAATAGTAGATTAACCTGCAGAGTGAATTCCTTCCTCCTGCCAGAAAGGAGAATCGCTGTTTTTATCCTCTATCCTCAGTGATTACCAACAGGACGTGCTGTGAGAGCCTCTCAACAGCATTTTGCTTGTGAGCAGAAGCGAAGTCACTGTATTTTCGCCAGTACTGTGAGACTGGTACAGTTACTTCTATTTTTGATTATGCAGATAAGTGAAAAAATTGAAATACCCGCATGAAACAGGAAGGGACTCCTCTAAGCAGGAATGACCTTTCCTTTTGTTCCGGCCATTCCTCCATTCCCTGATTTTTCCAGTGAGTCGCTGTTGGCCACAGAGAAAAAAGCAGACTTGGAAAGGCGGACCTGCGTCTGGACCACAGTGATGCTATCCTTTGGCAGACTGGAAGCTGCGGGGTGGGGGACAAAACTATACCCTGTGGTTCTGTTGACCTCACTCTCTACCATATACTCCTTTTTTTTTTTTTTTTTTTTTTTTTTACATCCCTTCATGACAATTTAATTAAGACACAAACCTCCAAAACCAGTGCGGTGAATATTAGCAGCAAGATCAGAACAATCTCCTTCCAATCGCCTTCTTATGAAGCAATTCAAGGCTTGTGGTTTCTATTCAATTTGTTATAATGACAGTGTTTAATCATGAAGTCTACTCAGCAGCCCGCCGCTGAATTGAGGTCACACATGTGACTATTCAAGCATGGAGCACATAATCTATAACTAAGATTTCGCCCCTGAATCTCTGGAGGCTGTGTCATTAATTAACAATGCATTTATTTAAAAAATAATATGCATTACATCCTTCTAAAATGTAGCCTTGGCTTGGAATGAGAAGTTTGTGATGAAACATTCATGGTAGTTGGTATTATTGTATGAAGAACTCAGCCGTGAGAATAACTCAATCACATTTATTTGAAGATATTTAATTAAAAGTCTTTTTTTCTAATTTCTCAAAAGCCGACAGTATAATTTCTACTTGTGGCTCCTTTCTAGTCATCAAATCATAAAAGAGAGTCTTTAGAGTTCTAGTTCAGATGCTTATGCATGTCATAAATGCAACATAAGCCACGCAAGTTAAAAATTATTTAGTGTCATCCTGTGCTGCAATAAATATTTTCAATCTGGAGGGAACAATGAAAAAACTCTGACCCTTAGCCTAGTCCTATCTTTAATCATGGAAGCTTGTTTCAATTGACTGTGATGAAGGGTGGTGCATCTCAGCGAGGGGGCTCATTCCACTCTATTGCATTTAATGCACAATCTACGGCTGATATATCAAACTAAGTTTTTTATAGTTCAACATATAAATATATTTGAGCAGGATAGGAACATGTCAGAAGACCTACATTGCTGGTTAGAGGGCAAACAACATTTCAGCTAAATTTATGTCTTGGGCCTAAACTGGTCTATATTCAGAGTTAGGTTTTAAAAGATAAAATCCTATGTGCATGTTGTGCGGTTTTTTTTTCTTCATCAATATATATGTCCATATACCTGTGCTTACGTGCTTGTTTCCTTTACGTGTGTGTATATCCCGTGCTGTAATACTAAGAGTAGATGATGTTTAACACATGTCTTTTTACTTTTTGTTTGAGGACGTACAGGGATTTTCATGCATCTACATTCCCATCGGGCAGAGGTCACTGACTGACCTCCTGGTGGAAATCTTTTCTGCTGCCTGTTTTCCATTTTTTGTCAGCAAGTGCATTATTTTGGTGTGGAAACAATCTAATTTGGACGGTCATAGGCATTTTACCTGAGGAGGCTGGTTTGGGGAGGCGAGTTTCAAGAGGCCGCATCCCCCTGGCGGTCATGATGGGGTCCGATGTGGAATGAACGATGGTGTTATCTGCAGAGGCATGGCTGTCTGCAGAGGAAGGCACTTCTCGTTCAAGGGTCTGAGCTCTGATGGAAGAAGCTGCACAAAGTGCTGGCTGGAGAGACAGGCTGGGCTCAGTGTCCTCTGGGGAGTCTGGGTGGCATATGTACCGCCCTGTGGAGCGATTTCCCGAGTCTGGGAGTGGGAAGGTTCCAATCCCACTGTCCAGTGTCCTCATCAGGCAGTTGGATTCTAGACAGAATAACATAGTGAGGATTAGAGAAGGCTCACATAAAAGGATAAAAATGATCATGAGGATTTGTATCTGATCTGGAGGATGGGGGATATCTAGAAGGAAGAAATACTATTAATGGGGTAGTAAATTTCCAGGGAGTGGCATCAAATAGACATTTAGTTGAACATGGAAATATTCCCTTCACATAATATGAGGTAAGGCAGCCATTACTGGCATTAAGAAATCACATGTACTCATACCCTGGATGGCTCTCTAGAGTTATCACAGAAAAAAGAAACAAAAACAGTCATTAGAGACCAAAAATTATTTTTGGTCACCATTATTTCAATTGGGAATCATATGACTTTGACCAATTAGGTGAAATTTATTAACCGAAATACGATGAGTAATGAGGACACATAACACATTGAAGTGATGTCATAACAAAGGTAATTATGCATCTATTACATGAATTATCATCCACTTGACAGTCAACTAAGTCTCTGGCCTCTCAATTTAACTGCAAGGGCAAGTAATTCACACGCTATAAGGTCATCCCAAAAGGTCCCTTACCCATGATACTATCACTTTATCATGTGGGCTTCATTTCACCCAACTGCCATTTGAAGTCAATTTATTGAGAAGACTATAGAGCCACTGCCTCTTTCCCTCTCACTTCACGCAGTGACACAACCCATCAGTACCTGTTGGATTTCTCGTCACTCCCAGATATCCCTAAAACAAATCGAGTTGATTTCACCACACGTGTAACATATTCTGCTGCGTCTCATCTTTAAGAAACGCTAAATACAGACAAAAATACAATATCTGCAAAAATTATTGCATATTTGATTTCTGAAATGGTGGTATGGTTTATCCAAGCCAAGGAGACAACTTCCAAGATTGGCTTGTCACCCCCAAAGTCTCCTGTTTATATGATAATCCTAGAATAAAACATCCTTGGTAAAGTTTGCATCAGCATCTTATGGTTCTAAGACTAAGTAAGACTTAGTACCTTGTTGGGCATGGTGGCGAATATAACAGAATATGGCATAATCTTTGCATCAAGAGGCTCAACAGCCAACATTTTAGTGGTGCTTTATGGAACAATGGCTTGGAAAGTGAGAACTGCCAATAGCTATTGTACGAACCCTGACACAGGATTCTCAACCTCTTCATCTTCATGACCTTATAAAGTAAGAACGATCATCACCATCTATCCTTATGGGATAGCTGTGAGGATAGAAATATGTTCGCCATCCAATCTCTAGAATTTAGAACGCTACTGAGCATACTGTGAAAGGGAGCTGAAAGAGTTAAATAATGAACAGTGACATATGCAAAATGTTTAGCATATTTATCAGATATTAGCAGGTACCTGGTAGGTGGATAGTTTATCCGGAACTGCCTTCCTTACACAATCTCATTTGGTGCTGAGCAATTTGTATCAGAATTCCCGAACCTGTCCATTCCCTACCCTCTTCCACAAAACTGCTTTGCTCCAAGTGAGTAGTAGAATTCTGGGAATTTCCTAGTACTAAGGTAAAAAAAAAAGGTGTGTCGGGGGGATAGGGCTGCAGACAGACTTTGCTCTTACAGGTTCTAGTAGGTTTGGTGCTGGTTTTGGAGGCACTAGGGAGACGAAGTCCCTATCAAAGAAGAAGCTTCCATTTTCAAAGGGGTATTGAGTGGGAAGATGCAGATATCCTCTCTCATTTAGCCGCCTCATACACCATGGGCTCTCAGACTCTGGTCAGGGACTGCGGCGGGGGGGGGG